CGCACATGGCCTACCTCCTGCTCTTGCTTTGGGGGCTGACTCTTGTTCTTCTGCACTGGAGATGTCTCTCCCATCCTTAGGATGTTAGCTCCCTGCTCCTGTTGCTAGCCATCCTCCAGCCCCACTGCTGGGGTCAACCTCCAGCTCTCCAGCTGTGGGCTGACCTCTGCCTTTGCTCTCCAGGAAGAGTCCCTCCTGCTGAGGAACCGGAGCTGCAGCTCCCGCCCACTCCCCAGGACCCGGGACCTGAGGCAGCTGCAGGTGAGTTGGGAGACTCAGGCCCAGCCCTGCCCTCACCTGGCCCCGCTCCTCTGGCTTCTTAGGTGGCCCCTTCACCTTCTCCTTCTCACTTTTCTCTGTGTCTTTGCCCTCCCCAGCAGTCCCCCTGACCTCTTCTCCTCCCCTACTCACATTGACCTTCCCTCTCTCCTGTCTCCTGCCCTCACCTGTTCCTTCCTCAGCCCTCCTCACCTGTTCTCTCTCACCTGTCTGTCTCCCCTGCTCAGGTGTGGGAGCGCCCTGTGGCCTTGGAGGCTGAGCTGGCCCTGACACTGAAAGTCCTGGGGACCGTGGCTAACTCGACCCTGGGGGACATCCTGGACCAGCCCCTTCGCACGCTGCGCCACATCCACTCCAAGCTTCAGGCCTGTGTGAGTGCTCTGGGCTCCCAGGCCACGTCTGTGGGCTCTGACCACCTGTCTGTCCCCGAGTGTCTGAGACCCTGTTCACTCACCACCCTCCTTTGCCCACAGGTCCCAGCTCAGTCCACAGCAGGCCCCAGGCCCCGGGGCCGCCTCCGCCAATGGCTGCACCGCCTCCAGGAGGCTGAGAAGAAGGTGAGTGACTGGGGAGGGACCAGTGTCTGGGGACAACTTGGGGCCCAGACGATGAACAGCCACTGACCTGTCCTTTCCTCTCCACAGGAATCCCGTGGCTGCCTTGAAGCCTCTGTCACACTCAACCTCTTCCGCCTCCTCGTCCGTGACCTGAGATGTGTCGCTGATGGAGACCTGTGTGTGTGACCCTCAGGCCCACCTGCCTCCTGTCCCAGCATCTTGGGTTTTATTTATGCATCCCCCACTTTTCTTAATTTATTGCCACCCAACCACTATTTATGTATTTATGTGTGTGAATTGTCAAACTCAGACCTGTAAATATTTATTTTTCTACTTTTTGTAAGAATTGTTCAAATAAATGATAAGAAAACGATGTTTCCTGTGCTGTGGGGCTGTGTGTATGACTGTGCGGATTAGTTTTCTCTCGCCGCCATAACAAGGTTTCCCAAACTTAGCGTCTTCAGACCACACAAGTTTAGTATCTCACAGCTCCATAGATGAGAGCTCTGGGTGGCCAGCCTCTTTCTCTGCCAGGGGTCTCACAGGCTGAAGTCCAAGTGTGGCTGCTGGGATTCTGCTAGGGAGGCCTTGGGAGGAAGGGTCCACCTCCAAGCTCAGTCAAGCTGTTGGCAGAATTCTCTTCCCTGCAGTGGTAACACTGAGGTTCCCGTTCCCGCTGGCAGAAAGCGTCTGTCTGTCCGCAGCTCCTGCCAGCCTCTCACTGGTCCTCGCACATGGACCTACATCTCAGAGCCTGCAGCCACAGGTCACATCCTTCTCGCGCCTGGAATCCCTCTGACTGCTCCTTCCGCCACATTTCTCTTCTGCCTCCAGCTGGACCAAGTTCTCTGCTTTTAAGGACTTGGTGTTTAGACGGGGCTCACGGGGATAATCCAGGACAACCTCTCTCTTTTCACATCTATAAAGCTCAGTTACCTCTGCGAGGGCCTTTTGCCAGGTCACATAAGAGATTCACGGTTCCAGGGTTCGGGCTGGGCGTTGGGGCCACTATTCTCCCACCACAGAACGTGGGTGATTGTGTGTGTGTGTGGTTTCCTTGTGGGTATGTGAGTGGATCACTTAGATGCATTCTGTTACATGTAAATCACATGAAATAAAAGTGCCTTATAACAACACTTATCATTGCACGTGATGAGAAGTGTAGACGGCAGGGTCCATTTAGAGCCAAGTTGTTTAACCTGCTCCACAGGCCACATGGAGCTCAGCACAGAAATGTCGCTAGTGCAGGTTGAGCTGTGCTCTACGTATAAAATAGACCCTGGAATTGGAATAGATTTTATTTTTTAAAAAATGTTTAGATAGTGCCTGCCAAGTTTCTCCTCTGTAAAACTACTATTTTTCTCTTTATAATAAATATGTGGAGGACTTTGAGACGATGCAAATACCTGTTACTTCTCAAACTGCAACCCATTCATTTTAGCGTCCATTGATGGTGTCAAAGGGTCTCAGACAGAGGAGGACATAAGGGTGCTCAGAGCCCACAGCCTGAATGTCAATATTATGTCAGTTATCAAATAACTTCATCCTTCCTTTTGCATTATTCATTGGCATTCTACTCTTAGGAAGAGCTTTGCTCCCCTCCGTCATGCATGTATTTGCTAATTGATTTATAACAGCATGAACTACTGAATTCTTTTTTTTTACCCCCCTTTTTTAAATTAAATCTTTATTGTTCAGATTATTACATTTGTTCCTCTTTTTCCCCCCATAACTCCCCTCCTCCCAGTTCCCACCCCACCCTCCGCCCTCACTCCCCACCCACTGTCCTCATCCATAGGTGTACGATTTTTGTCCAGTCTCTTCCCGCATCTCCCACACCCCTTTCCCCCCCAAGAATAGTCAGTCCATTCCCTTTCTATGTCCCTGATTCTATTATAATCACCAGTTCATTCTGTACATCAGATTATTTATTTACTTGATTCTTAGATTCACTTGTTGATAGATGCATATTTGTTGTTCATAATTTGTATCTTTACCTTTTTCTTCTTCTTCCTCCTCTTAAAGGATACCTTTCAGCATTTCATATAATACTGGTTTAGTGGTGATGAACTCCTTTAGCTTTTCCTTATCTGTGAAGCTCTTTATCTGACCTTCAATTCTAAATGACAGCTTTGCTGGATAAAGTGATCTTGGTTGTAGGTTCTTGGCATTCATCACTTTGAATATTTCTTGCCACTCCCTTCTGGCCTGCAAAGTTTCTGTTGAGAAATCAGCTGACAGTCGTATGGGTATTTCCTTGTAGGTAACTGAGTTTCTTTCTCTTGCTGCTTTTAAGATTCTCTCTTTGTCTTTTGCTCTTGGCATTTTAATTATGATGTGTCTTGGTGTGGTCCTCTTTGGATTCCTCTTGTTTGGGGTTCTCTGTGCTTCCTGGACCTGTAAGTCCATTTCTTTCACCAGGTGGGGGAAGTTTTCTGTCATTATTTCTTCAAATAGGTTTTCAATATCTTGCTGTCTCTCATCTTCTGGTACCCCTATAATGCTGATGTTGGTGCGTTTGAAACTGTCCCAGAGGCTCCTTACACTATCTTTGTATTTTCGGATTCTTTTTTCATTTTGCTTTTCAGGTTGGGTGTTTTTTGCTTCTTCGCATTTCAGATCTTTGACTTGATTCTTGCGCTCCTCTGGTCTGCTGTTGGGTGTCTGTATAATATTCTTTATTTCAGTCAGTGAATGCTTAATTTCTAGTTGGTTCTTTATCACAACATCGAGGGTCTCATTAGATTTCTTGAGGCTCTCATCAAGTTTATCGGCAGTTTCTAGCAAATTATTGAAAGCCCTCAAAAGTGCGTTTTTTAGCTCTATATCCTCCATTTCTGTCATGTTTCTTTGTCTCCGCATTTTTTATGCTTTCTTGGTGCACCCCCTAGTGGTCTTTGTGCACAGTCTTGTTGTAGTTAAGCCTTGATTGTTGTAGGTAATACTAGGGGAGATTTTACCTCCAGGCCAACTGGCTGTGTGAATCAGCTGTGTCTGCAGTGGGAGAACTACTGTCCTCTAGGGAGGTGCTAATCTAGCCTTTGCCTGAAGCTATCCAGCAAATGCCTCTGTGCAGGGCTTGGGTGGGGCGGGTCCCAGGGAATCTACAGGGCCGGCGGAGCAAGCAGTTATGGCTGCTCTCAGTCCCGTCCCCAGGGGCTCTGCCTCTCAGAGTCCCAGCAACCGCTGCAAACCTTGGAGAGAAAGCTGCCTTTGAGTTCTGACCGAAGCCAGACAGTCCCGCTTCTCCCATTTGAGTCTGGGTCCCTAGAGACTCGCCCGGATCTGGAGCTCAGAGTCTGAGGCTCCCTCCCGATTGAAATAGACAACCGCGCCCTCAGCCGCCAGCCCGCTCTGCATGCACTCCACACCTCAGTATTTTACTTCAGCACTGCGCCTCCTCTGAGTCTCAGTATGCTTTTCTCTTTCCTCCTAGTTGTAGAACTTCCACTCAGCCAGCCTTCCTGTGGTTCTGGATGATGTCCATTCCGTCTTTTAGTTGTATTTTTGAAGTGGTTGTTTGAGGCAGCAAACTCCGGCGTTAACCTATGCCACCATCTTGGTTTCTCTCGACTACTGAATTCTTATTTCATTCAGTGCATTATAATTCTTTGCTATAACTTCAGTTAATGCTTGAACTGTCCTCAATTAGGCCAATGGGAACCCTTTCAAGATGGCTCCTAAGCCCTTTCCATGTGTCCCCTCATCCTTTGAGCACCTCCTTGCTTTCTGCAATAAGATGTTCCAGGCTCACCTTGTACTATCCCTGCCTCAGCTCTGTAAACAGCCTTTTCTTCAAGGAGCTCTGGTTCCTCTTCGTGGAGACAGTATTAAAAAATCGTGATCTGGGTGCTAGGTGGGCTGATTGCTACAGGAATATTGTTGCTTCTACCCCCTCTCAATGGACAAAGCTAGGAAATAGATGGATGTACAGAATTTTTATCCACTGTAAAAAAGTAAAATCTCACTAATAATACGTTTCTTGTTGATTACATGTTGAAACAATAATATTTTGAATATATTGGGTCAAATAAAGTATATGTAAAAGTAATTTCACACATTTCTCTTTACTTATGAAATGTGGCTGGTAGAAAATGTTAAATGACACACGTGGCTCACATAATATTTAGATGTGAACAGTGCTGCCTTAGAGGACAGGCTGTCATAGTGGGTCCAGGCTCTTTATCTCTGGCTGGTGCTCCATCCTCAGTGCATTAGTACTGTCTCCCCTCAGGACGGAAATGTGGACGCCACAGCTCCAGTCACCACACAATCATATGACCGCCCACAAAGCTGGAGTGGCAGAGACTCCAGCCAGCGCTCTCTATGCTTCTTCTCCTCTTCTTCCTTTACTTGGAGAACCCCTGACTGGAAGTGGATTCCAGAGTGTTCCACTAAAACAACATTCTTCAACCATCCCTGCACCTGTGGCACTAAGTTGTGGCCCATACACACGAGTGAAAGTGATCTGAGCCCCTTTTGAGTTGTTCCTTTAAAGGACATGCCATGCCCTCCTCGTCACCTCTCTCCTTTCTTGCTGAATGACAGAAGTGCTAGCAGCCAGCTCACTTTGCCTTCAGTATCCGGGACATGTTCAGTGGCTACAGAGTCCTGTGTTGAGAGCTTTCTTTTTTCTTTCAGGACATTGAATTTGGTCTTCCCCTCTGGGGCTCCCTCCATGATGGGCTCTCTCCTCTCAATTTCCGACTGCTTTCACAGCCCCAACTCTGGTGTCTGATAACCTGAGTCAATGACTGGTTTTCTGCTTGAGTTCACCTTGACCCTTGCCACATGGACAGAGGCCTGTGCCCAGAGGAAAAGCCATAAACTTAGTCTCACACCATGGTTTGTTCTTTGAAAGATGGAATTCCCTCTTGTTTCTGCCTGCTTCTGGTCGCTCTCCGGTGCCTTCAAATAGTTGTGTTTCCAAAACCGTTTGCCCAGAGTTTGTCATTGTTATCCATGGGGGGTTAGCCAGCGCCCTCGCACCGTCCCTGCCTCACCTTCCTCTGTGTCCTGCTCACCCTCAGGTGAGTGATTGTCACTAGGGGTCTCACCCCGGGTCACAGTTCGATGTCAGTGGGGCTGGGTGTCAGTGGTGGCTCACTCACATAGCTGCCTGTCTCCTGGGAGCATAGCCGGGCTGTTGCTTCTCCATGTGACTCAGACTTTTCACAGCACCACAGTCCTTGAGTAGATGAACTTCTTACATGGGGCTGGCTGCCCTCAGAGCAGTGTTTAAGGGTCCAGAAGTGAAATCTGAAGGCTGGTTAATGGCTATGCCCGGAACTGACACTGTGTTCTATTGG